GCACGAGAGCATAAAAAAGGTATAATTATATATGTAACCAAAATATATTTAATAGTTAAATAAACCAAGTTTGGTTACACATTTCCAGGATTTCTTCATATCATAATTTTATTTAACTAACACATAAACCAGTATTGAGTTTTTTAATATTGATATTATATTCCAATTTATATAATAAGTATTATTATAATGAATAAGGTACATGTAGATATGTTCTTATTATAAGCTTAATTCTGTTATAAATTTATTATTTTTCAGCATGATTGTATGATCTCTATTACAATTATAACAAATCTCTATTAATGTTTCTCGTTTCTCTTGAATGTTGTTCTTTTTTACAACTATAGAACATTCCTTGCGACACTTGCGGTAAGATTTTTCACTCGCACGTGAGGATGCGTGTACACATGCGCAGGCATAAAAGCAACAGTTTGGCATGTGAGATTTGCCGACGTCATTTATCGAGTAAAGAAGCTTTGGAAAAACATCGCAAAACAGTGCATTTACATGATTATGTCTGCGATATATGTCACAAGAAAATGAAATGTAAAAAGATGTTGCGCGCTCATATAATTGTAAGAAAAATTGCTGTATATTTTTAATATATTTAAAAAGAAATAGTAAATATGTATTACTTATAAAGATCTGGAATTTGTAGGAATTTATTTCTAAAGTTTGTATAAAAAACTTGTTAATTAAAATATCAAAAAACTCTATGTGATCTTTTTTACATAGTACATTAAGTTTAAGTATTGTGACAAACGCAGAACAAAAACTAAAAGTTATCTTAAAGTGTTTTGTTGTTTATATTGCAGAGTCACTTAGAGAGCAAATTCAAGTGCCCGAAATGTCCGAAAGTGTACAAAAGTAAACAGTACTTGAATGACCATCTGTTGAAGCACGAGGACATAAAAAAGGTATAATTATATGTAATCAATAACATAGTTAATAAAATAAGTTTGGTTACACATTCTTTTATTTAAGTAACACATAAACCGGTATTTAGTTATAATCTTAACATTACATTCTAAATTTATATAATAAGTATTATTATAATGAATAAGGTACATGTGTAGATATATGTTCTTATTATAAGCTTAATTTTGTTATAAATTTATTATATGTTTTGCTGCATGATTGTGTATGATCTATTACAATTATAACAAATCTCTATTAATGTTTCTCGCTTCTCTTGAATGTTGTCCTCTTTTACAATTATAGGACTTTCCTTGCGACACTTGCGGTGAGATTTTTCACTCGCGCGTGAGGATGCGTGTACATATGCAGAGACATAAAAGCAACAGTGTGGCATGTGAGATTTGCCGACGTCACTTATCGAGTAAAGAAGCTTTGGAAAAACATCGCAAAACAGTGCATTTCCATGATTATGTCTGCGATATATGTCACAAGAAAATGAAATGTAAAAAGATGTTGCGCGCTCATATAATTGTAAGAAAAATTGCTGTATATTTTTAATATATTTAAAAAGAAATAGTAAATATGTATTACTTATAAAGATCTGGAATTTGTAGGAATTTATTTTCAAAGCTTGTATAAATAACTTGTTAATTAAAATATCAAAAAACTGTGATTTTTTTTACATAGTACATTAAGTTTAACTGTTTTGACAAACGCAGAACAAAAACTAAAAGTTGTATTAAAGCGTTTTGTTGCTTATATAGCAGAGTCACTTAGAGAGCAAGTTCAAGTGCCCGAAATGTCCGAGTGTATACACAACGAAACGGAATCTGAATGAGCATCTTCTGTCGAAGCACGACATAAAAGAAGTATATAATTATATATATGTAACCAAAAATATATTTAATAGATAATAAAATAAGTTTTGTTACACATTTCCAGGATTTCTTCATATCGTAATTTTATTTAATTAACACATAAACCAGTATTGAGTTTTAATATTAACATTATATTCCAATTTATATAATAAGTATTATTATATAATTGCTGTATATTTTAAATATATTTAAAAAATAAATGTATGTATTACCTATAAAGATCTGGAATTTTTAGGAATTTATTTCCAAAGCTTGTATAAATAACTTGTTAATTAAAATATCAAAAAACTCTGTGATCTTTTTTACATAGTACATTAAGTTTAACTGTTTTGACAAACGCAGAACAAAAACTAAAAGTTATATTAAAGCGTTTTGTTGCTTATGTTGCAGGGTCACTTAGAGAGCAGATTCAAGTGCCCGGAATGTCTGAATGTGTACAAAAATAAACAGTACATGAATGATCATCTTCTGTCGAAGCACAAGGGCATCCGTAAATATGAATGCTATATCTGCAAAAAAAGGTTCGGTCATCGATCGTGCCTCACATATCATCACAAAGTGCACCCTCTGCCTAGGTAATATCTTTAAAACATTGACAATTAAATTAAAATAGATTAAATAAAACGAACAAAGACTAATCTTTATTAAATAAAATAGAAATAAATAATCAAAGAAATAACATTGATATGATTCAAATCCAAGAAAAATTTCAAAAGTAAGATACCTGTGAATTAAATAAGTGAAAATTTTACTTTTATTTTTCAACTACACATGTGTATTACATGTATGTATATATGTATGTATATCGACATTTTGGCATTAGGATTTTTGTCTCCAAATGATCTCAGGAATCTACCCTTAAGAGTTGATCCGGTTTTTATGGTACACTCTGTATATATATTGACTTTGGAAATAAATTTCTAAAAATTCCATATCTTTATAGGTAATACATACATTTATTTTTTAAATATATTTAATATATACAGCAATTTTTTTACAACTATTTGACCTTTCAAACTTCTTTTACATTTCAGTTTTTTGTGACATTTATCGCATACATAATCATGTACGTGCACTATTTTGTGATGTTTCTCCGAGGCTTTTTTACTCAATAAGTGACGTCGGCAAATCTCACATACCACACTGTTGCTTTTATGTCTTTGCATGTGTACACGCATCCTCACGTGCGAGTGAAAAATCTTATCGCAAGTGTCGCAAGGAATGTTTTATAATTGTAAAAGAGAACAACATTCAAGAGAAGCGAGAAACATTAATA